CTAGGCTTAACTGAAGCGTGCGATCCGTGCAATCGCCGATCCAAGTCCCAACAGAAATTGTCTTGTGACCGCTTTGCCACATAAGCGTACGTGTGTTGCAAAGAAGGTAAAAACCGAAGTAAATACATTGAAGGTCCTTAGTTCACTACCCTTAGCTAAGTCTAAGCCTTAATGTAACGACATCCTGTGATCTCATCATGTAACCGCGATCCATACATTTCTTCCGTAACCGACACCATGAAGCACCCTGACACAGAAATCATCACCATGAACCCAACATGAAACGACTGCATGTAGCGGCGTAATCTCAACAATACCACCCATATTTTACTATAGGGCCTTTTACTCAGCCCATGCCACTTCCAACTGCTCCGAAACTGGTTGCTCAAGGCACCATTGATGATGAAACTGTGCATTTATGATTTTTACTACCAACCGCTATCATACCCTTGAATTTAATTTGCGCTAAACTTTGATCATGATTGGTTTGTTGTCATCACTCCCGTTCCGTACAGCAGTGGCACATCAAACCTGAGAGAGAGGCTGGTAAGCGAAATCTTAGACTGCGGATTCCGTGACAAGAGTTTGGCAACAAGCTCTCACCTGCTCATTTTTAAGTTGAATCAAATGAATATATATCACTTTCGAGATCTTTTCTTGCGATTTGCAAGCGTTTTTGGAGACAATGAACAGGTGTGTCTACTGCCGACATTCATCACTCGGCAGGGAATGCACGTTTTTACCGCCACAAGAGTATCTAGCAAAGCTTTTGAAGGAGACCACCCTGCTAGCATTCCCACCTCATCGCGAATTCCACATTGTAGATATAACGTTTCGTGGCTCTAAAGTTCGGGTAAATTGCTCGCACTGTGCTGCGAATATGACGGGGGAGATCTCCGACCTATCCTGTCGCTCAATTACTCCTCTCATGTCCTTGTTCAATATTTGGGCGGCAGCGTATGCAGAGAGACTTTCGGCAGGTTTACAATTGTGATTTCCATTGCAGACTTCCGACCTCCACGTGCCATCAAACTGCTTTTGTCGGACAAGGAACGGGTACTCTGTTCTGGCCGATGTCGTGGTCCGCGCTTGAGCTTCTTTTGCTTTGTGCTGTCCTCCACGTACACAGGGCAGATCAAGGTTCTTCATTGAGGCTCCTTTCTTGTTCCCGAAGGTTCGTGGTTGTCCCTTTTTGACACGAAACCCCCGCGACTCAGCGAAGGTTTGCAATTCATCTAGCGCTTCTTTCATTGTCTAGTTATTCTCTTGTATCTGGCGCCTCTATATGCGAGTCGTGTAAGGAACATGTACGGACGTTTTGCATTAGGGATCGCGGTCGTGGCGTTTTCTGTGACTGAAGGCTCTATTTATGTATCGATACCGGAGGGATTGAGTCGTGCAGGGGGTGGGGTGGAAAGGGCATTGCTGTAGAGCTGGTCGCGCTCATGGCGCTTTCTGGGGCTTTGAGTGTAATTAGTGTGTCGAGCTTGCACTCATTGTTTATGGGTGATGCGGCAAGGAAGGAAGGGAAAGCGGCAGATTAGGGGTAGGAAACGCGTTAAACAGTAGGAGACGACTCCGCCAGACAGTGGAATGAGGTACATGTAACAAAGGTCAGGTACATGTAAAAAAGGTGAGGTACATCTATAAGATCCCCTAAAATAATCGGAGAGACAATTCATAGTTACACTGCTCACCACCCACAGTCGACTCAAGAATAAGTCGACAGTCGTCACCGTTGACGGTCCTAGAGATTAAAATCTCTTTTTGGAATAGTTCGGCGAGCATAAATATTACGTGCCACTAACATTCAGGCAACATGATTATGCCAAGGGAAGCGCACCGGATGAAAAGCCAGGAGCATTGTCGCCGTGAGGATAACCTCAAATAACATTGTCTTTGCCAGTAAGGAGGCCGAATACGACTCCAAAGTAGGGAGCCTTTTCCTTCTCTTTGCTCCCAGAATCCACTTCTTTGCTTGCTTGATAAGGCTTGTGCACAAGTAAGCTATGTCAATTTCCGGTAACCTAATGTCAGACTCTCGGACATTTGACTGATTTACTGTTGAAAGCGTACACGTCGCCCCAATTTAAATCCTTGACCCTAACAGGAAAATGCAACGTCATGCAATTCAAGATTTTTAACAAGCCTGCTCCGATCACCTCATTGTTACTGAGCAGCAAAGCGTTAGTAGAAAGAGGCATCGTGGACATGAATCTTTGCAGCATGTTCACAAAAAAGTTGGGAATTGAGCGTGAAACCGTTGTCGATGGCTACTACGAGTTTCTGACTGCGCCATTCTACCGATTTGTAATTCTTCGTAAATATAAGGCCAAGATGGATAATTCGCTTCGAAATAAATACTTTTAGAAACATTAGGACCTCCGAGCGGGTGCTGTAGTTGAGAGGTCTTGACATCAAATGGTGGTCAGATGCATCTCGCTTTGTGCATGATAGCGATGATGAAGAAGAAGTGTCGATTGACGTCGCTTCAGATAATTTCCAGGCAACTCGTTATGCGAATTTAAGTGACCTTCGCAGAAACTTGCGTCGTAGCGTCTGATCAGCTCAAATGAACATGAGTCGGGCTTTAAAACAATTAGTTAGCGAAAACCAGTGCGGGGCAATCCCCTGATTGTTACAATGGCTAGCATGTCTGAATAGGAAAAACCAAGCATGCCACGAATGAACACAGCAGTTCATGCTGCTCAGAGGTGAACGGAATGCTGAAATTTGGGCCACAATGCGCGGGCGTGCATGGTACTTCCTCCGGTCAGCGAGTTAAACGAAGAAACGATATCGAAACATAATGCGGAAATATCTCGCCGTAATTGTAAGATTAGGTTAAAAGCGAAGCGAAAGGAAAAGAGATACAGAAGGCTATAAAAGACGTCGGCACCGACGTGTCGCTATAATGGAATGTTTTGTAGTGCATCGTCTGGTCTGAAGGTTGCCTCATGCCTGACAACGATTATGGAAAAGGCTCATCGGATGAATATTTGCTAATGTCCGAGCGGCCAGAAAGATGAAATTAAGAAGAAGGAATACCGATCGGGTTATCATCAGAATCGCAAAATGCAAGCCAACAGTATTTATTGGTTTCATCAAGTCCCACTTTTGCCAAGTGCGGTAACCCTATGACGGGCTGTTTGATGGTCTCCTTGACCCAGGCGTTGTCATTTTAGCAATCTTCCGACAATTTATTCGGAATTATAAGGCTCAGTTCTTAGAAAGGGCCCACTCTTGAGCGAGCCATAAAGCAAATAACAATCAGTTCACCGTTGAAATTGCTCTGGTGTCGGGACTTACTTTACTTGCGTTTCAAAGTAAGCAAACTGATCAATCTTTTGCAATCTGTGTGTGCCAAGTTAGTTGCAATATTATGTCGATGCGTTGCGGCGCACGTAGACCACATTGCATGCGCTCTTACTTTACGTCATAGTATTGTGACGTACGTGGATCACACTGTATAAATGGAAGCCAATTATTTCGCTCTTAGACTTTGACTCGTTGCATTCGTGGTCGCGAAAATTACGTCATCTTCAACATGATTGTAAATGTCGACGCGCTGGCACTGTTTTGGACGCACCAATTCGTACGATTGTTGTCAAAGCTATCAAACTTGATAGACCGGGCTTATGGCCACGCTTAGCTTACTATCTTTACTCTGCTAAAGCGAAGCAAGGTCGGCTTTTATGCTTGTCTCATTAGCTTACAAAAAGGTAAGTTGTACTCGCTGCTGGAGACGCTCTTAAGCAACTGTAGCAACTGTCGATTGCCACACAGGATTTTCTCTGCTTATCCGCATGTACTACCAAGGCGCTTGCAATCGTAAGACTATGTCAATATCAATGCTTTCGCTCGTTTCACAACACGGCCCGGAGATCTTAAACTCGTCACAGCGCCGTTGGTCAAAAGCAGATCGGTCTTTGTACGAAGGAAATCCCGTAAATGTACAGTAAGTCCTGCTTGACGCAGAAAGTTTTGGGTGGGACAGATCAAAGGATTTGTCTGCAACACATCACAAAGCCTCTCAATCACGTGATCAATGTACGAAGCGGCGTCGCAAGAGCAAACTACTCGGCTCTCTCTCTCTCTCTGCTGGTCATGAAAGTCTGAGTGTGCCGACATTCTTGCTACATCACATACCGCGTCCGAGCTAATCGCTTGTGAAGAAAGAATATTGAGAATGAGTCATCGATCTCCTACCCCACACAATGCATGCATGGCTATCAAAGACCTCCAGCAGTATCTCAATGGACCTCACCTTATCACCATCATCACGAATGCATATGCTATGCCATGTCAGCGACCCAATTTCTCTCGCTCTGGTAGTAAATTACGGGAAGCAAGTGATATTGACATACTTTTCAAAGTCCTGGTACACGACTTCTGCCACGTATGCTTTAGCATACTCTGTCCACCTACGTTGAATCCAGGTGTACCGAGTCTTATCTACATATGTAGGGGTAAGATCGACGCTCCATATCACATGTGATCGAGCTAGGAGTTGCTGCCACGTCCAGTCTACTGTTACACTGCTGGTCGTCAACAGCCGACTGTAAATAACATTCGATCGTCGGGTGGCGCAACGGCTAATCCTTCGGAGTTGTTGCCGCTTCATTCTCTCCCCTCAAGAAGCGTGACCTAAATGCAACCCTAGTTTGACAAAGAAGGACCGCACGTTATAGAGACGAACAGAGGAACATCATTTGCTTGCACACCATCGTGTTATATGCTCACTGCATACTATCATAAACTGGACCGGCATACTCTCCGGCCGATTACTTTTGCATGTGTCGTTTATCTGGAAATACTACCTCGATGGTAATGGGCATCCGGGCCAGGGCAACGAAACCCTATCTACGCACATTGATTACCAGTCCATATGACAAACCCACTTGATAGTGAGCGTTGCTCGACCTGACGCTAGCTCACCATGAGCTCCGTCGGTCTCACATCTCGAGCTCATTCTACAATTTACTCCTGATCCACCAACCATGCGTGTTCACTCTGTTCTTCTGCTTCTTGCTGCGACTCCGTTGTCAATAATAGATGCGGCTCAGCAAAGTAACCAATTTGACTCGCTTGGCGTGGACGATGTCGAGGGTTCTGTCCATCCGGCGCAGCCGCAAAGCCACCTTGGTAATGAAGAGAGATTCGTCGCCATCCCCGAATCAATTAAAACATTGCTCGCTGCGACGAAGAGTAAGCTTCAGAACTTGGCGGACGAGAAAGAAGGGTCGAAGGTCCTTGTTTCGCTTGGTCTCAACAACCGCGTGGACAATCTTTTTGACAACCCTGCATGGGTCACCTACATGAAGCACAATGGTGTGAAAAATAAGGAAAATGACATGCTGTTGGCATTGAAGAAACACTACACTGACGAAGAGCTGTCGTCCATATTCATCGCGGCAAGACGTTTTGGGGACGAGGATGTCAAGAAAATTGCTCTCGAGCTGCAAGTACAGCAGCTGTTCATGCGGTCGTCGCATCGCAAATCACCTGCAGCCATGTTTGAGCATCTTGGACTCAATACAGTGTCTCAGCTGGAGAATCGAAAGTTGACTGGAAAGGAGGAGGCTGTCCGCCTTTTCGATAGCCAAGAATTTTTCCTTTGGCAAGCTTATGTGCTCCGTATCCACAATGGGAACTCGAAGAAAGCTACCGGAGCGATGGCTGAAGTGCTGACTACTTTCTACGGCGAGGAGCGTCTCGTCAAGATGCTCCTTGCTGCAAAGGGTGCTGAGGAGAAGGCTGTGCGGAATGTTGCGGCTGGGCTGCAGTCAGAGCAGCTGCAGCTGTGGGCGAAAGACCTCAAATTACCGCAAGATGTGTTCAAGCTCTATGAACTCGACAATGTGCCTCGATGGAAGATGGGGAAACTCGTGAGGAATGAGGCTAATCGTCTTTTCGATAACATTGAGTACCGCCTTTGGGAAGCTTACGTGCACAATATGCACTCAAAAACAGAAAAGGCGGATGAAGCGATGGTTGATGTGCTGACTTTTTTCTTTGGAGAGCAAAAACTATCAAGCATACTCACTGCTGCAAGGATGGAGAAGGGGAAGATGCCATTGGTCTTGAGACTTCGAACAGCTCAGCTAACGCGGTGGAAGGCCGGTGACAAAATTCCGAAAGAAGTTGCTTCTCTGATGGGCTTCAAGGGGTCAGCGATCGACGATCCCGAAAGAGAGCTTTGGAGAGCATACCTTCAAGACTACAACGTAAGGCATAAGCTTAGTCCGGCACCGAAGACGGAACCATGAGTGCGTTTTTGACGCGTCTCTTCTTAATTGAAACACCTGGCTTTCACAGCGGTGAATAGCGTCACGATCTTCTTTCTTACGAATCTCCACAGTAGTGGAATAGACGTGTTTGTAGCAATCGCTTGTTGTTGTTTCATTTGTTTGACGCGTGATGGTTGAAGCAGTTATACGGTGTCGAATGCTATCCATCATACATGGAACTAAATAGCTTGCCTCATGCGTGCACGTCGTTGCATACCGACGGCAGCAAGGATCTTGCTTGAACAGCATCAGTCACCGCGACAGTTCTTATAATTGCCATTCAGACCCAACATCCATCGCTGCAAAGATGCATACACGACGCGGCAAAGAAGACCAGAAGTACTCAAAAAGTGTCCTCGAACAACACTTCGATGCGCCATACTAAACTTCCGCTTCAACAAGCTATGAGCAGCTTACGTGTACAGTACGCCTATCGCGCTGTTGTTCTTCCTGGTTGACTCGTACACCAGTGGACGCTCGAATCTACCGAGCACGGACGATGCTGTCGCAGCTAAGGGCAGAAAACTCCGCATCACGTCGTCCTCAGTCGTGCTGACATCGCGCAGACTCACAAAAACGCGAACACGACGTTGTCGCAGCTCCCCCTACACAGCACCAATTCATCAGCAGCCATACCATCTCTTTAGCCACTATATGCCCAACATCGTACATGCGCAAGCAGAGCCGCTGGAATCCCAGTAACAAATTGTGGCACTTCCAGCGACGGCACCAATGTCTGCTCTGTCATTTCTTCCGTCACAGCAGACGTCGCCAGCATCCTCAGCTTAACACCGACCTCTGCCTCTGCACTTTCGTCTCCGTAAATTGTCGATACCTGCGAGCTCAGGCACACAATGTCCTCTGCATTGATCTGCGTTCGCAGCTTGTTGAGCCACACCGACGTCGCTGCAGACGTGACTTCTTGTCCCACCAGTAACGCCAGGCAATTCCCTGCTATCGACACGTCCAGTCCCTTTTCAGACAATATGATACCCGCCAACGGTGAACACTGCACCATACACCAATTGCCACGTTAGGTGACGTCGTGTCAAAAATACCCAATTTCGTCAAAAAGACCCAATTTCGTCTGAAATACCCAATTTCGTCAAAATTCACTGGACGCACCGTCATCTGGTCACTGGTCACTAACGCCCCCACGGCAGTCCACGAAGCCGTCAGCTGCTTCACGAACTGATGCGGTGCTCCAGGCATGGCGACGATCAACGTCTTGATGTTGACAAGATCATGAGCCAAGGGCTCGAGCAAACGTCGGACTGACCGGCTCCACTGTCATAGGTACGAAAAAAGACTCTAAATTAGAAAAGCGAGAGGTTCAGTACCCAACCACGTCAACCGTACCCGAAAAAAAGCCTTGTGAGTCACGTCAGGAGCTTCCAGACATGTGATGTCGCACGCGCGAGAGCTAAAGAGAAGAACGGATTAGTAGCAATAGGAAAGTTGCATATCATATAATAAACGATGGACGCACCTGAACTCGCTCTCTTCTGCGTAGCGAAGGGCAAGGGCCATGATTTTAGTGGAGATGGTATTAAGGGAGAATTGGGACGGAAGATGGTGGTAAAACAAAGACGCGGAGATGGATTTGGGACAGATTATTTCAACTGATTGGACAAGAATAGGCAGTTGTTCAATCCAAAAAAAACACGTGTATTGGTAGCGTAATGATTATCAAGTTGTAAAGTTAGTTGTTATTTTCAGAGGGCTGTTCATGTAGTGTAAATCTACTTGATGAAAGAGTGCTTAAACGCAAAAAGTCAACAGTCAGCCCATGGCGTGATTAAGTTCAAAGTATCCGGTTGATGTGTCAATGAGGACCACACTAAGGTTAAACACCGCATCGACGGTGCGCTTGCCGTTAGTAGGTCGCTTGCTCTGATTTGACCAGAGCCGAATGTGTTTGTTCGGCTGCGAACTCAATGACTTCTACCCTAATCTATAGCTTGAGATAAGGGAGCAAGCTCCGGAGCTCGCCCACTAATAAAAGTATTTCAGTTCGATAAACTGATTCAGTTCTTCGATTAAATCAGGCTGCAAAGTACTATACAACAGCAGTCACTAGAGAATGAGTACGATACTCTCAATGTCTAAATTAAACCAGCACAGTGGGCTAGGGCAACGCGATCGGCATTTGGTAATGAGCGTCCAGCATTTGCCTATGTGATCATATTCACCTTTGATCGATTTACGCCAATCACAACCGCGTGCCACAATAATGGCTTGGCCAACGAGTGACTTCGGATATGCCTATAAACGTATGAGGAGGTGACAGGCTAGATCGCACTTGGTACGTGTAGGGTACACCTAGCCGTGTTTTATACAATCACACACAAATAAGCACGATTTAAATGTTTGGCATTCAGCTTCCGCGCAGTCTCTTATAGCTTCACCCGTCGGGTTGGCAATAGATTTCAATACGACACTCTTAAGCCGAAGCGTGAGTTTAGCTCCGTGGCATCAGCACTCAATATTCATATCGGCCCATCGTCACGCAGCTCATCCCCAAACGACGGCTTCTTTCTCACCCTTCTTTATGCGAGTGAGCTTACGCTTTTACCTTGTTCGATACAATAGAAAAAGTGTCATTGAAATGCACGCTACATAAGGCAATAGCGCGTTGTACTAACGTTAGCGTTCAGGTATGTCAAGCATTTGGACCTCGTACTTCCGATATTGCTACTTAATTATGGCAAGCATTATGTCTGACGAATGATAGTACATTGTGTGCTTATCACCTCGTGTATCGATGTGTCCTAGACGTCGACCAAGAGGAACGATTTTTGAACGGCAACGTCTGAGGACACCAATCCGATTTTATTTACCAAAGAATCAGTAGTCTAAAGACTGAAGATCCGGCGTATCTGGAGGATAATTCGTTCCGCGCCCTCGACTTTAACGTATGACGATACGTCGTCAGTCGCCGTGTTCTACGTCGCCGTGGCGCTTTGCCAACGGCTCACTGACTGGTGGCTGGAGGACTCAATACATTATTATCGTGTTTCACACGGATAATTACACCTCGCATCTGGACAGAGTTATGCAATCACAAAAATGGCACCGGTACCTGCAACCTTATTACTCTCCGAGAGAGAGTCAGCAGACAGCCAGCAAAACTCCGAGAGGAGTGCTACAGACAGCCAACAAATGAATGCACACCAGCTTGACCTTATTGCTACGTGCTTCGAAAAGTAAAATGAACGACGTTTAACGCTTTAATCGTCTGTAAATGTGACACAAAAATAGAACTTGACACATACTGCTTAAAATTGACCAGCGAGCAAAGTCTATCGAACATGCTCGGTCGCTAAATTTACATTTCTTTATCGCTATCTGCCAAATCGACGACCCCAGTATATGTGAAAAGGTTACATAGCTACGAACTTATTTGAATAAATGATGTCTGTATATACTCCTGCCAGGAGACCTCGTGATACGATACATAAGGATGCTTGGTCTCCGATGCACTCGACCGACCCCAGTGGCCGAGTGGTAGGCCGCTGGAACTGGTACCGGGAGGTACCTATATCGTTACACGGTGGGGGTTCGATTGCAGGGCACCGGAGATAGGCCAAAATAGTAGACGAGCAACCGCGCAGAAGTGGCCGCCCTATCAACCCGCGCAAGGCGTGGATAGCTGGGTGGGCTGGAGGCCCTACTAGCCGAAGATCCCCGTAGTGTAATGAGGGGTGCGGGTCCTGTAAGGAGTTCAAACTGAGTCAGAGTACTTGCAATTAGCCCCAGGGTGATCTGAAGGACCGCACGGCATAAGTCTCTACGATGCACTCGGTATGAATATTTTTGTTCGAAGCTCAATCTGGTAAAGCTGATTGCAGGTGGTAGATGAAGCAGATTTTGCTACTTGTGGGAGTAAAACGAGTTTGCTTCACGTGCAAAAAGATATGGAGTCAGAGCAACTACTAAAATTACGTTCATTTATAACCGCAACATAGACATATCTACCAGCACAGACATACCTGTAATAATTCCCTTAAAATATGAAAACGACAAAAGCGTTCCTGTGGGATCACAATAAAGTAATTATAACCTCCACGTTCTCGTTACCGAAAAGATTTGATGCGGCAACTTACAGTCTTGGATACTTTCCAGTTCGTAAATAAAGCAGCTTGGAATCTTGTCTACTTTCTAGTTCGTTAATAGGGCTTGTACGGATTCCATCGCTGTATTATAAAAGTTAACGAGTCATTTGTACTTTTTCTGCACTTGGACTCTGATACGTGACAGTTTAACCAAGCCGCGCAACGACCGACACCTACACACAGATCAACTAACATGTGCGTGGACACATCCGCACCGACCACGACTTTATGTATCGGCAAAGAAGTGACCTGCGATAGAACACGAGCTTCAGATAGCGTTTAAGTAGCAGAAACCGCCTGGATCTGTAGATTACGGCTGCTGCTGTATCGTGTAGTAGAGCTATTTATGGAAGGAATTTGTATGCGTTGGCTCTAATTCATCACTTCAATCGCAACATTTTATCAGCGTTTGCGGTAGGAAGTCACCAGTCGAGAGCCGACAATATATGATAGCACCAGACGCTTAGTTTTTGACGCGAAAGAAGTTGGAGTGAGCGGGAAACCCTTTAAAATATCTCTTGTATAGCCTAAACTTTTCTTCTCTCATTTAAACACTAAAGCAAAGACAACATTAACGTTAGGACGAAGTATGGTTTGATGAAATTAACTACTTAATGGGTCTGACACTCGATACAGGCAGCTTTGCAAAGATGCATGATAATCTATTTTTCGTAGAGCAAAACCTGATATCAAATTCTCCACGGTCGTAAAATCTCTGACATTATGGAACTTCAAATTTTGCCCTTAGCTTGTCGTTCCTCTTGGTCGTTTGGATCAATCTAATTGTGGATTGATTGTACTAAAATATCACCTTCGGGTGACGACATCTAATCGATTTTCTTACAAAAGATTGTGATAGCAATTAAAGATCACAGAACATATAGCAGCCACAACAAACTCCGTACTGCAGGTAACATCAGGAGCAATGGTTCATCTTTAACTCTTGAACGCGTAAGTACATCCATTAGTTTGCAGCGCAAAGCCGTGAATGATCTATTATCATCCTCATCATTAGATCAGCATTTGCACAAGCAGTAGTGTGCAAGTCATGAATTACAGGTATCGCTCACAAGAGTTCAAATTTACGGTTGTCTTGTAGGGAGCGCATTACACGCTTTGCTAAAACAAAATGATCTTAAGTGTACATGCCCATGTAATTTACACGAGTACGCACGACATTTGAGAGCTCTGGGCGTATTCCTAGCAATTAACGCTAGAGGCTAATTACCAGCTCTCTATACGGCAACTTGAACGGAGCAGCTTTTGTTTGGGGTGCCATGAAACTTTACGTACACTCGTGCGTGCATAGGAAAGAACCTTACCCAAACTGCTTGTTTGATAGGGATAAAAAGAGAAATATATGTAAAAAGTTAAGTTTTCAAACTAACTTCGGTATATATCTACAATACATATCTACATTGTTGCATGACGACATCCTGCTCATCACTCATTACGCGCGTCTAGAAGCGATTGGTGGTAACCTTGTTTGACATGTCTTTTATCAACCAATATCTGAGCAGCGCATGAATACTATTCTAAGGACATAAAAACCTCTTACTATTACCTGACTTGGGTAATATTGGCAGGAGATTGTCACGCTAGACGATATCCCTATTGAAATCGTTAAATGGTAATATCGTGTAACGGGCTACCCTGTTACAGCAAGGTTGAGTCATTAGTTTCTGGCTGGTTGTATCTGAAGGGCTTGTAAATTGCTTGGATCTTGTGGAGTTTTGAGACTAAAGGACACACCTTTTTACTAGATTGTACTAAGACCTACCTTGTATCGCCCAAATCTGTATTTTTAACCTTTTCAAGCAACTAATGTATGATCCTCTCAATATTTCGCGCAGTTCTTACGATAAATAAGTCACATACGCAGACTGAAAACATTCATTACAATTTTGTCGAAAGAATGTACTAACTACCACTAACTTTGAGTGAACCCGCACAACCTCAGACGTTTGTAGAGTGTCTGGTATCAAACTACTGGCTCCTTTTTCAGACCGTACAGACTCGTTAGCAGCCTAAAGACACTACCTGACCCATCTTCAGCATATCTAAGTACCACATCAATCATTATCCTCATCAATTAGTTCATTTAAGAACGAAATCACGAAGTTCATATGATATCACCATAAATTCGTTTAAAGCGCCAACATCAGGTCGAACTTATTGGCTTCGTGAGAAACCACTGGAGCTTAGGTATCAAAATGGATAAAACCGTGGCGCTGATGATAGCCTTTAGCTATTATTATGGTTAGAAAACGAACAACATTTCCATGAGCGTTACGCTTTCTCACGAGTACTGATTTTATAACAGGTTATGTTTGCCATTCGGTCTATCTACAACCTCCATCATAATAATCTAAAATTAGTGTAAAACCTCTCTAACGCATCAATCCGCTTGTCGGC